CAAATTCTCCTTTGTAGTTCTGTCAAGTTTTGCTTAAATATTTTAAACTTACATTGTTATATAACTCTCTGTGAAATAAATCTTTTATTATTATGAAGTAACTTTTAAAAGTTTCTGATAGTGATTTCTGCTTTAAAGTCTATTTTACTGATCTTAATACAACCAGTGCCAGCTTTCTTCTGGTTAGAATTTGCCTAGCATAACCCCCCCTTTTAAATCTTTTTGTTTTTTATCTTTCTGGAGGTCTTAGCAAGCACGCCAAAACAAGAAAAAAATAAAAATTTAAAAACAAAGATTGAAAGAAAGAAAAAATACTGTCATATTTGCAGCTGCTATGACTTTATAAGTAGTATTGTTAGTTTGAAAGTTAAATAAATAAGACCTAAACAAATGAATAGACATAACATTATCTACAAATTAATCTATGACTCAAAGTAACCCCAAACAAAATTCTACCTGGGTGTTAGTAGAACCTTCGAAGTTAATTCTAAACTGTATATAGAATTACATGGGCCAAGAACAGTCAGCCAAACCATTCAACAACAACAACCAAACAAAAAGGGAGCGGGGAACTTCTGGGTCACACATTAAGCTACATGATTAAGAATGTTCACACCACAGACAAAAATTAATTTCATGTGGATTAATGGCTTAAATGTTAAAAGCAAACACGTAGCGCTTTCGAAAGACAGTATGAGAGAATAGCTTCACGACTTTGGTTTAAGGAGCTCTCAAAGAAGAAACAGGAACCACATCCATAAAGGAATAACTTGGTAAGCCTAGATTTAACAAACAATTCTGTTTAAAAGACAAGAAAAGAGGGTGAGAAGGCAAGCCAGAAACTAGAAAAACTTTTGCAACACACACAATTGACAAAGGATAGCAACCAGAACATATAAAGATATCCCACAAGCCAAAAGGAAAAGACACCCCAACAGCTGCTTTGAAAAAAAAAACAACAACCTTCATCAATAACATACACGAAAAGATATCCAACCTCAGGGACATACTCAGGCAACGAGGGATTAAAAACACTGAATAAATTTGCTCTCTGCTGAAATGCTTGCTATTAATCACAGTACAATTAGTCAAATGCAGCTGAATGTATCATATCTGCATGTGTCGTATATCCTCCCTTGGTCATTCTCCAGTCATTTGCAATCATTATATTGATTATGTGTAAGCTTCCCCCTAACCTTCATATAAGCAAATGTAGGTTCACAAACCAGCAATGAGCAGTGAATGCCCTTTACACTTTTTTTCATAGAACTCAGACCACAGGGGGGCTGGCCCCAGCTCTGCTTCTAACTAGCACCTTATGCAACCTCTTCTCCTGGGTTTACTTACTTACTAGTGACTGAACTAAGTGAGCTCTGGACACACCCTCCCAGGCCCACCAAGCTCTAAAATTCTGATTCTCAGTGTACTTTCTTTTTTACTTACTCTTTCATTCCATTTTCTTATAAAATACATTTTTCTTAATCTTGTGTACTAGGCACTGGAGACATGAACAACGGCTACAACCACCTCCATGCCCCAGAGTCTCACAGTCAAAGAGAAAGAAAAAAATGAACAAATCACAACAATATGGCAAGTGGTATAGTTGAGATAAGATATACAAACTAAGGTAGACACAGGAGGGAACACGTGCACTGACACTGAAAGACAATGAGTTTGGAGAGAAGACCCGGCCAAGGAATTTATAGAGAAAGAGAGCAGTGTGGGTAAAATCCTGACAGGAAAAAAGAAAATTAGGCTTTTGGGGCTTTGTAAAGAGTTCAGCAAGGGAGAATGGCAGGCCTCACATGCTATATAAGAACCTTAGAAATTATCCAGTGGATAAAGAAAATGTGGTACGTATACACAATGGAATATTACGCAGCCGAAAGAAGAACAAAATCATGTCCTTTGCAGCAACATGCATGCAGCTAAACACCATCATATCGAGTGAACAATAACAGAAACAAAGAACTGAAAACCACATGTTCTCACTCGTAAGTGGGCCCTGATTAGTCACACGAGCAAAAAGGTAGGAACAACAGATGCTGGACACTGCTACAGGAGAGAGGGAGGAAGGAGGGATAAAGGGGGCACAGTCACATACTAGGTACCAGATCCACTATTAGGGGAAAGAGGGCCCACTAGAAGTCCAAACCTCACCTACACACAATTCACTTAATGTGGTAAATCCTCACATGTACCCCACAACTCTAAAGCAAAACAAAACCTAAATTATCCAGTGGGTAACAAGGTATCTTTTGGCAGGGAAGTAATACGATGAAAGTGGAATTTAGAAAGATCATTCAGGTGCACTGTGGAGGAAAGAACGGGGTACGACATGGCAGACAAAAAGGAGAAAGCAGAAAGACCAGTGAGAAAGCTACCATCTTAAGGGAAATGACGAGAATCTAAACTAAACAGAGGCAGCAGAAGAGGAAAGAGATTTGATAAATATCGAGTTAAAACGGGCAGGATCCACTACCCCGAAAGAGGAAGAAAAGCCAAGAATAACTCGGGAGAAATAAGGAAGGTATGAAGGCAGTGAAGAGAGAGGAAGAAATGAATCTGAGAGAAATTAATGAAACAGAAATGTTAGAACCAGGTGAATGACTAGTTTCAGGGGCTGAGGAGGAGGAAAACGATTAACTTCAATCTTGGACTTGGGTGGGTTTTGGGGTCATAAATCAAAACAGGAAAAACAGAAGTGGATTTTGAGGGAAATACATTCTCGGCACACTGAACTGGAAGTGTTGGGGAGTCAAGTTGTGAGAGATGATTATTAGGTCTTAAGCTAGCAAGGAGGCTAGAACTGGAAATAATGACAGCTAACATTTAATTAGTGCTAACTGTGTGGCACTATCAAAAGTGCTTTACACGTTCTATGGCAACACTTGAAATTCCATGGGATAAATACTAGCTATTCCTACTTTACAGATGAGAAAAAATTAGGCACAAAGCATATAAGTAACTTATCTTGGGTCACCATTGGGTAAGTGCAGGAGGAACTGGAATCATGGAGAGCTGTCATCAGCACAGACTCAAGGATGAGGGTACGGGAAGATATGTAGAGGGCAAAGAGGATCAAGGGCAGAGTTCTGGGAAACACCAACACTGAAAGAGAGGTCAAAAGAACAGGGGGTAGTAAGGCTGAGAATAGAGCCCTGGACGACAAACGGAGAGCCTTTCAATAAAGAGGAACTAATTACAGTGTCACTTGATGAAGATATTCACGTCAGAGGGCAGAACTTGGCAACTGGAAGCCTGGGACATCACTCAGGGAGAGCAGTCTCCCAAGAGGCTAGGGCCAGAATGTACTAGGTTGAGGAGAAAACGAGACAGAGAAGTGATGAAAACTCCAAAAAGCTCCAAAAAGCTGAGCTGTGAAACGAATGAAAACTCAGGAGGCTGCTGAAGTACCATACATTTGGGGAGTTTAGCTGTAAAGCTAGGAGAATTCTAAGCATTCTTTTATGTCAGAGATTCATTAATAAGTAAAATTCAGTCAGCTCCCTAAAAACCTGTAAAACACTAAAGTCACAAAACAAGACTTGGAAACATCCTACAGAGGAACTTCTGTTCTCTTCTCTACATTTTGCCCTCCTGATCACCGACATCGGGCTCTACCACGCCTCCACTGATCAAGTCTCTCACCAGGTTGACACACCAGCCTTTCTTCAGTTCTTCAAAGACACCAAGGTCTCTGCCTTCTCAGATGTGCCCATCACCTCTGCCTGGATTGCTTTCAACCTGCATAGGGCTGGCTTCTCATTCTTCAAAGCCACCTCTTTAGAGAGGAATTCCCTGGTCAACCAACCGACATACTCCTACTTTATCCTGTATTATGGTACTGTGTCTTTTCCTTTACAGTACTCAATCCAATCTGTAACTACTTTATTTGGTCACGTTTATTGGCTGCCTCTTCCACTAAAATGTATACACCATGATGACAAGGAGGTCTACATTGTTGGCCTCTGTATCTTCAGTCTTTAGAACAGTTCCTGGCAAATATTAACATGTCATTACATACTTGTGACATGAACCCTATAACCCAACTTCTTCCTTTATCACTTTCTTCAATTCATATCATGCACGCGTTTCTTAAATCCCAGGCCCTTTCTTCACTGTATTCACACACAGAATCACAAATCATTTTCTACACCCTCACCAGTTACCAGACTCTGTGCTATAAGCTATTTGTACTATTTGTATGACTTCAATTAATTTTCACACTCATCCTCTCAGGTAAATAGGTGCTTTAAAAACTCTCTCTCTCTCACAGAAACAAAAGATCTGAGTATCACATGTTCTCACTCATACAGTGGACCTTGAACATCCACCGTAATACTATCAGAAAAAAAAAGACTGACAGTGGTGAGAAACTATGGGGGGGGAGGGGAAGGAAGGAAGGTGGGACTAACGGTAGTCAATATCTGTCTGGGAACGGGGAGACACCCCTTACCAATAAGGGTGGCTGAACGAAGCATACGTGTATATCTAATCCTAAACTGTACCCCACAATATCAAAATAAAAAATATAAATAAATAAATAAAACTATCTCCATCGTACAGATGAGGAAACAGAAGACACTGTATAACTTGCCCAAGTTTCACGTAAGTGGCGGTGCCGGGATCAGAACCTAGTTCTTCCTTAAGAAACAAAACAAAGTCACTGCTTACTTCAAGAGGAGGCACGCAACTTTAGTTGGGCAGTCCAGATCCAGTTTTGTTTAAGTTTTGAGATTACATCTGCTGTCTCCAGGCCACGACCCAATCCACACATTCCGACGTCACCCCCACTTCCCCATTGCTGGAGGGCAGTCTCCAACTTCCAAGGCTCGATTTCTCCCGGGGAAGATGCCCGTGGACAGGAGAGGAAATCAAAGCGCTAGCAACTCATCTATGGTCACTAGAAGGAGGTACCCAGAGACCTAACGAACCATCCACGGCCTCGGAGCTGAAGCCAACCATTCCCGCACCGCTCCCGCGGCCGGAGCGCTTACCTTAACCGCCACCTCCGGGGCCGCGTCCACCGCCAGCGCCAGAGACGGCTTGGTCGAAGGCGACTTAGTCAAGTGCATGAGGGAGTCGGCGGCCGGCAGCGGACACCGACTGCCCTCGCTTTCCGAGTCCGATTCGGATCCAGAACCCGAACCATAGGAAGCGGCCAGAGCTGCGATCGCAGCCGACATGACTGCAACAAATCCTCTGCGGAAACCAGGCCCGGGCGGAAGCAGAAGCGGCTCCTAGGTCCTGACAGATTGCCGTGGAACACATTATTAACCTTCTTAGCTAAAAAACCATTCATAACATTTTAAAACAATACACTGATTATTATTAGAAAAACTATAATGCAAGTAGGAATTTAGAAAGATTTGTCTAGGGAAAAAGAGAGGTTTTAATAACTTGTAACTTTCGGGTCCTTGCTGGTTAAAGCATACGAATTTCGCAATACAACCTTGAGGCCTCGCGGTCCCACACTCCCAGCGTGCAGCGCGGCGGGAACTGCGAGAAGGCACCATGGGAATTGTAGTTTGGAGAGAGGGAGCGGGGAGAAGTGGGCGGGTCCTTTAAAAACTCCGCCCCCAAGTGGATGGTTCATTCAATTGGCTGTCATCTTCCCTCATCCCCTGGCCAAGCATCGGTCTCTCCGTCCCCCTCCCCCAAACTGAGGATTGGGTAATACCATAGAGCCTCAGGAAAGGGGGGGAGAGCGATCTTCACCACCTACAGATGGGGGAGTGGGCGGAGGCTGAGTTTCCCACCGCGGCTGTACCTGGGCACGGCGGGCCGAAGAGGAAAGTGAGAACCTTAAGTTCCTGAACCTAAAACTGGCCGGGAATAGCTCCTGGGGGGGAGGATGGGAAA